TTAAAAATTATTTTCGTAATTATTGGTACATATACTTATAAAAAATGCTTTAGTCATAATATTTTTTATCAATTTTAACTCTTAATTTATATATAATAATAGAAAATATTATATTTTTAAATAATTTTTACGTCACAAAATATATAAATAATTTCTACTGTTTTGTAAAAAAATTTATTAAAAACTACATTTTTAATTAATTCTGTAAATTATTTTAAGAGATCCAAATAATTTTGAGGCTTAATTACAATATAATTTCTAACTCACGATCTAAATTGATAAGTTCTCTTATTTTAAGTGTAAAATTCATATTATTGTATATCGAACGACGTCGTTAATGAGGAAAATGAAACGGGGCAAAAAATAATTTAGCGCCTGAAAGAATGTCCATGAAACCCATTGGAGCTCCGACCCGACCCGAATATTAGATAGCCAGGTACCACTGGGTGAAGCAGTAGGGGCACCCACGTACAACACTCTAACTTTCGCTGCATTTTGGGGAGAGTCTTCCCTTCCTCCCTCTCTCGATGCTTTGCTTTCTCAGCTATAACAGTCTCCTGTAGAATACCAAACCCTGTCAATCTCAGCTTACTAGAACAAGAAGGAGGCCAAGAAGAAGTAGAAGATGGGGACATTGGGGAAAGCAGTTTACACCGTTGGATTTTGGATCCGAGAAACCGGCCAAGCCCTTGATCGTCTCGGTTGTCGCCTTCAAGGAAATTATTACTTTCAAGAACAGTGTATGTCTCTAATCAATAATCATTTCTCGTATGTTCTCTCGTTCGTGATCTTGTTCATTACTTGATTCTCGTCAACCCTCAAACCCCAATTTCTTCGCACCATGCTGAGTTGGATTCTCCTCCTGGTTATGACTTCATTTTCTGGACGTTTTTCTGTTGAATGGTGGACGGAGTTATAGTTCTGTTTTGAAATTTCTGGTTTGAATTTGAAATGAGCGTGATAGGGTTGATAAGATTTGGTCCCGTAGCCGATGGTTTAGATTTAAAACGGGAATGCAGTAATTGCCTCGTACACGCATATATAATAGTCTGTTTGGTGGCGCAGAGGAGAGAAGGAAAATGTAGAAACTAGGATCTTAATTTTTTTTTTGTTGTTTGAAGATTTTGATTCTTGATTTTTTACCTGGTGTCATATGTTGCAAATGAAATACCATTAGTTTGTAGCTTCCTCTCTGTTCGATCTTTTCTTTTTAATTATAAAGATGAGTCACAAAGGGAGAAGAGTTCGAGTAATTTGGTTATTCTGTTGGGTGTATGTGCAATGTGAGTGCCTCCGCAGAGGAAATGTTGAGCCCCTCCTTTTATATATGAGATTATGAACGTGTTGTCCACCTGCTGTTTTATTTTCATCCATACACTTTTTGATGCATGATTTGTCTAGGGTTCTGAATAATGTTCTGTTGTTATGATTGTGAAAAGTCACAACTGAGATAGAGTTTGAGGCTCCTGTGGATCATCTGGTTTAAGGCCGTTTTGCCTTTGTCATGCTGGTGTTTGGTCCAATGAACGTGACTTTTGCTTCAAATTAGGCTTTCTATTCATATTTAGTTCTGTTACTGGTAGAAGATCTTTAACACTACTACTATTCTGCTTTGGACCAGGCTGATTAAGGATTCATAAAGTCAA